CACCACCCATTCAATCTCTCCTTTAATTTTCATCATTATGTATCTGATTAATCATAAATCATCATCATCATCCCGAGAAATCAATCAAATAGTGTTTCTTACAAATCCAAATCAAACGGTGGCTACGTACATTTGTATGTAATACTACGTACTCCTCTGGTCTTATTTATACGGTAGAGAGAAAAGACTTTTTTTTGTCCTATTTATAGGGCACTGAGAGAAATTTTTTTGTGAATGTACAATTTCACCCCTCATTTATTATTGTGTTGATTTTGTTCACATGAGGTATAATACATACTCCCTCCGTTCCTTATTATAAGGGACATTTGATGCTTATGACATGTTTCTATATATAAGAGACACTTAAAAGTTGTATCTACTTTTTTGTGTTGATTTCCTATTTTATTCATATTTATTGTCTCCAACTCACACTCTCTCTCCTTTCCACTTCTCTTTCTTTTAATAAATTACCATTGTTCTCTCTCATGTTCTCTCTCCTATTAATGAGGGCATTTTTGGAAAAAAATTATACTTTTTACATATTGATTGTTCTTAACTAATTTTAACTGTTTTTTTTATCAACGTAATTCGGTTATTCGTCTCTTATAATAAGGAACGGAGGGAGTATTAAATAGGAATAAAATTGAATAGTTATTAAATTTTACATGAGAGTTAATGAAGTTTAAGATTTTTTTTGATTTGTGTGAAACATGCAGGAAGTGCTTTATAAATAAGAATAGAAGAGTGGATTGGCTAATGAGCCCCTGGTTTTTGCAGCCTGCACAACCAAACGAGACTTTAAAATGTGTGTCGACGTAGGAGTATTAATTCCATTAGGGAGGAATTATATAATATATATAGAAGGTGTGACAGATAGAGACCTCCCGATTTGAAATTCGGCCGCAATTAAATATATACAGAAGGATCGGACCACCTTCCTTATGCCGAAGCCGACTGTGATGTGTGACCACACAATATTCCCCAAGATGAGCTATATATCTCAATTCCACACGGCATTTTCATTATTATTATTATTATAATATATTATATTGGGGGCGTCATCAAATGCACAGTAATACTCCTCTGGTCCTTAATATAGGATCTAATTTTTAAGTTGGTTTTGGTCCTAAATATAAGACCCATTTCTCATATTTATTAATTTTCTTTAAATTACCCCTATAGATACTCCCTCAACCATAATCAAGTAGAAGAGGGAGAGGGGGTATTAAGAAAGATGATTATGGTGTTTTAGGAAAAATGTGTCACTTTTCTTGTAATTAACTAATTTACCTAACTTCCTTAATCTAATCAAATTAGTTAAATAGGTCTTATATTAAGGACCGGAGGAGTATATATTTAATAAAATCAATCAATAATTTTATTACGTTGTGGTGGAGGCCCTCCAATAAAGCTGAATATTAGCTTAGGCTATATATGCTTCGTGAGGTGATCGACATATCCAATTGAATTGAACGCTTCCGCCGTCTAAAATATATGTTCCAGTCAAATTCACCAGCCAACACTCATCATATCATCATCCCCCTTCATATTATAATTTATTTACCCACTAACTTCATTGGATCTTCTACGTACCCACCCCAATTGTGTTTGTATGTATGGATAGTTTATTTGTCATAAAAACTACAGTCAATATAACTATTTTAAAAAGTCTCATTCGTATGCGCAGTTTATTGTATTATTCTTTGACGGAGTGTATGATAAATATAATTGCGTACGTGGTTGTGAACGATTTAGTTTATTGCCTAATTTGGATGCGGTATCATTGTGAGGGTGGTGATATATACATTGTATGGCCGGAGAGAGACGACAAGGAGGGGAAACAACGAGAATTGGATGGGGCGGCCTTCGAAGGGAAGTTTTGTGAGGAAAGAAAATACTCTTTTGGTCCTTAATATAAAACCCATTTAACTAATTTGATTATATTAAGAAAATTAGGTAAGTTAGTTAATTATAAGAAATATGATATGTTTTTCCTAAAACACCATAGTCATCTTCATTAATATCTTCTTTCCCTCTTCTATTTGATTGTGGTTGAGGGAGTATCCATAGGGGTAAGTTAGGAAAAAATGATAAATATAAAAAATATGTCTTATATTTGAGACCAAAATTAACTCAACAATTATAGGTCCTATCTTAAAGATCAGAGGAGTAAAACGTGGGAAGAGCTGTTTCTGTGTTTGATTCAAGTGAATCCAGACATGAATATTGATTTTCGTTGTTGAAGAAAAGAAAGAAGAGAGAGAAAGCAGGAGTTGTAGAGAAAACATGGAGCTCATACATAGTCATACTCTTGTATCGGTTTAACATGTTTTACCATAAATATTTTTAATCTTATATTCTGTAAATGAATGCATATATAATTATACTTGGTGATTATAGAGATGGCTTGATAATATGGTGGACTGGTGGTGGTCATGAAAAGATGACAATGTTTTGTTGGGAACCAAAATCATCGTAATAATTAGGTCATATATTAAGGACAAAAAAATAACAGGAAAGGGTTAAAATGGGGATCAAATGCAGGTCTTGGAAGAAAAGCATACGCAGGGATATGTATATTTGAATATGAAAAGCAAGGGGGGGAAGGTTTCTGTTTTGGGTGAAAACGTCGGCCACCGGCAACTCAGATTCCTAAACAGAAACAACCCCTCCCTGGCTTCCTCTCAATTACACATCATCATCATCATCATTATTATAATGCAACCCAGTAGTTGAGGTGGCAACTGCAACTCCACTACTACTCCACTTGAACTTGATGATGAGCATCACCAGTAATTAATTAAATAAAGATGAATCAAAGCAGCAGCGTCGTCGTGGGTGGGTGATTGACTGATTGGATTCAATTAATTAATTGAATAATGAATAGAGGGCATCAGAATCACGTGCAGAAGAGGGGATGCCGCTCTTCAAGCGACACACGAGGCTCCCACTGGGACCCCCCGAGCAATATCTCCTCCTCTCCCCCCTTCTTCCTCCCTCCTCACACTTTCGATTATTCCTAATTACTACTGTTATACTCATGCCAATGCTTCCTTCTGTCGTCGACTCCCATCACATTTCCCCTTTTCTTATCACACAAGTGACACCCAGGTTTATATTCACTGCGACTCCTTCCCCCTCCACTGTTCATCTCTTCACTCTCCCCCATGCATTCATTCGCAGCTGCTCCCCGCCATTTCATCTTTTCATTCATCTCCCCCCCCCGGGGAAAAAAATCTCAATTAATATAATTACACATATTCATCAGCTTAGGCTGCTAATTAACACTTCCGAATTCATGAACACAACAATCTCCGGTGACCTGTCTACTGATATATGTACGTTAAAACTACAAAATATATGCAAAACAAAGGAAAGAACTAAGGAAAGAGCGGACCATCTTCATATATATACTATGAATCAAAGAAACTTTTTATCTGTTTTCTTCACTTTGTGCAACTTGTTTGTTTCTCTCTCTCTCTCTCTCTTTTTTGTGGGTAGTATTTTCAAAATTCAGGACATGTTAACATGAACGCTACCGGTTTTGAAGGATTTACAGATGGGACAATAGTTGAGGGAAGACCCGCAAACAGTACACAGGCACAGGTGCCTGCACGGCAGCATCAGCACGCACGATTCCTCTTTCCCGCACTTCCTGCACATTCTGCCACTGCTTTTCATCATCCCTCCCTTTATCCTTCTTTTACCTTCCTCCTCCTCCCCCTTTTCCTCCGTGCCCACTCCCAACCTGCGCCACCCTTCCCTGTCGCTGCCTCCGTCGTCTCGGAGGTCATCAACTTCGACGCCGCCTGTGCTTCCGCAGCAGGACTGTGCGTCGTCCATTAGTTCTGCCCCTGCGGGGACGACGGTTGCGCCGTCGTCGTAGTTCAATCGACGCTCGTCCCTGAACTGAGCCAATACTTGCTCCAGATTTGTGCGGAGGGCATTGGCTGTGGCCTCGTTGGTCTGCGCCAAATCCCGCCATATTTGATTCTCCACGCACAGCGACTTCACCTTCTCCTCCAGAGCCCAGTTCAGTTTCCCAATCTTGGCCATCTCTTCTTCCTTCGCCCTCAGCCTCTTCATCATCCCCGCTTCGATTGCCTCTAAAATCCTCCTCGCCTGCCTCTTTCGCTTCTCCTCTAAGTCTGCCCTCACGTTTTCCATCTGTAACCGAATCCCAAAGAGAGCAAGGATCAGAAACTCTGAACAATCGTCCCAGTCGGATTGAAAAACCAACAAGTAGGACAAAATAGATGCACACGGTTGAGGTGATGACGAAGTAATTAAGCACTCACATGATGGGCAATGAGACGGTCGATATCGAGTTGTTGCCGATGGATCTGGAGAGAAATGTCCTGGCCGAGAAACGAAAAAGCGGCACAGGCGTCATCATTGTCGGCAGTATTCTTGCAGGAGAGGAGAGGGTAATTCATAGAATCTCTGGAACGCTTTCTGGACTCCAGGGGGAGATTGTGGGAGAGGCCACTGTCGGATTTGATGGGAGTCTTCTGAGGAAGAGAATCGACGATGAGAGAATTGTAAGGCGCCGGAAGGAGAGGATTGCAGTCGGTGGCGGTGGTGGTCCCCGATAACGGTAGAAGGGAGGAGTTATAAGCGTTCATCTGGGCGCTGTAGAGATTCATGCTCGGCTGAACAGAACCAACAATGTCTCTGCAAATAAAACAAATCGGATGCCGGTGAGATGGAGATACAATCAACGGAAACACAAAGAGAAGAGCAAGGAGAGAAGGAAGGGAAAGAATGAAGGAACATACCGATTGGCTAAGAGTTGCGAGGAGAATTGATTGAGATGGTGAGCTTCGACGGCCATGAGAGCTTGAGAGAGTGGGGAAGAGAAAATATGACAGATGGTGAGGGGATGATAGGGGTGTGTATGTGTATATATATGTATGTATATATGTGAGATGGAAGATATAAATATTTGGGTGGTATATATGTGCGGGGGCCGGGGGGTGAATGTGAGGAGAGAGAGTGAGTCCGATGTGATGTGGAGTGGCAGGCGGTGAGAGAGGAAAAAGGCATGCATTAGCATGGTGGGGTTTATGAAGGGGTTTGGCTTTTTCCTCTGCCTTTGAAAAAAAAAAAAAAATAATAATGAATTGATAAATGTGGAGAAAAGATAAAAGATGCCATGGATTCGGTGACCACAAAGTCGCGTCTGGCTACTTGACTTTATTCACGTAACCCGCACAGACTTTAGCGATTTTTTAGTGTATCCTATTCAGAGTTCGCCTATTCATATCCCTGGCTTCTTCCTTCTCTCTCTTTCTCTGTTTCTTTTTTTTTTTTTTAAAATAAAAATAATTATGGCAGCTACTTATTTCTTCATCATAGTAATTCTTAATTATTTTAATTATTTCTTTTCATGAATAAAGCTCGAATTATATTTTTCTTAAGAGAAATTATTATAAAACACAAAAGCGGAGATGGAGTCCAAGGACACCCCCCACTTGACTCCGTCCGAGGGTGGGTGTACTATGTCCGGGAAGAACGTGAAGAGGCGGGGCCCAGGGCGCAAGGACGTGCGAGGTGCCACCTTGGCATGGGGTCCTTTTTTTTTTTTTTTTGGGTGGTGAAATGGGTCCTTTTTGTCTCTTTACTCGCAGATTAGAGGAGGCTGGGGCGATGACAAAAGCTTCCCCGCCACGTGTCCTAATTTTGGATTGAAATCCAGAGATGACAGGTTTTCGTCACATTATTCAATAAAAGAATTATTAAGATTTGAATAAAAAAATAATTTAGTGCTCCAGGAATTTTACTGTTAGTGAGATCGTGAATCATGTACATTGACATTAACGGAAGTATATTATTCACCACTTGTTAAAATGCCAATTTTTATGAATTTTGAATTTGAATTATATTTAAAAATATAACTTTCTTGTGAAAAGGAAAAATCAAATTTGAATTCAATATACATGCCGCAATCATCTTGAATAGAGACCCTTTCAATATGAGCTCATGATTTCTTTTGGTCATTCTGATATAAAGTCAAATAGGCTGTGATATTAATCTTCATTAATATATCCAGATTAATAGCTTTATCTAGCAAACAAACAATCATAATCATAATCATATAAATTAAACGTGAAGAGTTAGAGAAATTATATATATATGTATGTAAATGCGATTATCTCGTCATGAATACAAATATAAAATTCAGCGGCCTGCGTGATTTGAATTCAAACTTGGGTGAGATTTACACAGTAAAAAGGGTGAAGTAGTGTATGAATATATATATATATATATATAAAAGGATTATGCATGTCATGCATGTGAAAGAAATTAAGAAATAAACAAATAAAATTGTGATATAATTAAATGAAAGTGCGGTTGAAGGAAGGAACGTACGTACACGTTTCAAGAAATGAATGGAGGGATTATATGGAATTGGGTGCAGAGATTTTAAAAATGCTGTGATCCATACATACGAATTCGTCCACATTCAGGCTCCTCATAAAAGCTAAACGACCTCTCGCAGTTACGGCTTTGGATAGACATCAATATTATCCGTGGAATCACGCCCTCCGCCCTTGCCTTCTACTGCTCCTATTCCGATTTTTAATATAAGACTAAATTATTAAGTTAATTTTTATTCTAAATATAAAATCTGCTTTTCATATTTATTCTTTTTCTAGATTATCTTTATTGATATTCCTTTAACCATAATCAAGTAAAAGAAGAAGGAATGATATTATTAAGAGGATAATTATGGTATTTTAAGAAAAACATATCATATTTCTTATAATTAATTAACTTATCTAATTTTTTAATATAATTAAATTAGTTAAATAGGTCTTATACTAAGGATCGGAAGAGTTTTATATTAACTATCCCTTCCCCACCCCCATCTAAATTATACATACTAAATATATAGTAAACATATAATTGGTTAATTAGATTATCATATGTCGATCATGCTTGTGCTCGGACGCTCTGAGTTTTCATCGCGCGCTGTGGATTTTACGTAAATTAAACAGCCTTCTTTGGATATGCGTCTTTTAGTTTTAGTTTCGACAGATACATCTAGACAGACAGACACTTAGTACTGTGTTATAATTAATCTCTGATCTCTTAAAATTACCCCATATAATGAGTGAAGTTGTTCTGCTTCAGAGCCTCAGTCAATCTCCCAAATGGATACGACACATCCAATGTAAAATCGACAAAAAGTGACCGAAGAGATTCCATGAAAGAGCAGAATTAATTAATTAATTAATTAATTAGGTTCATGTTTCGCAGTCTGATCCGAGAGTGATACTTTATATGTGCTGCCAGCTGCTCTGGGACAGGCGTTGCTTCTTCATCATAATGATCCGTTCATAGGTTGGTGCCGTTCTGGTAAATTCCTCAATTAGGGTTTTCCCATTTCTTGGACATTATCATCACCAGCCAGACTCCCATATATGGAGCTTTCCCAGAAAGTTCACTCTCCTCCATAAACTATAAAGGGCTTGGATTAATTAAATATTATTATGTGTCTGCGTGATATGATGGGGGGCACAAGGACAAGCGAGGCATTCAATTATGTGTATTTGGATTACTATATTATTATTATGCTCTGCAAATTGCAGTCTGGGCTCCAACAAAAGAAGACCATGCCATGCTGCTCCAGATTTTTTGGCTCTTTCTTTAACACTTTCTCTTTGTTTCCACCTTAGCTTGCTTTAAGGAGACAAAATGACAATTTCTTGACGCCCTCCTCGATTTCCCAACCCAGCAAGCCACGCCTTCCTTATTATATACGTAATTACTCCTACTTTTAGCTCCTTCCTTCAATTAACTTTATATCAGTTTATTATTTGTTACCATTGTGTAAGAAATATGAATAATGTGGGTTAATAGTAAATAAGAAAGACAGAGTAGATCAAGAGAGTTTATATATATAGCAGAGAGAGAAGATTTTTTTGGTTCTATTTATACATCACTTTATTAAATTTTTATCACGAATGTACCATATTATTCTTCATTTATTATAGTGTAGATGGTTATTTTTTTAAAATGAGTATATAATAAATAGAGATAAAGTTGAAAAGTTGCTATATTTTAATGAAGAATTAATGCAGTTTAAGATTTTTCTTAATCTCTATAAAACATATTCAAAATACCTTGCAAATAGGCCAAGAAAAGTATTTACCAAACCATGTCCATCAACTAGCTTAGATATTATGTTTAAGATAAAAAGAATTAGTATTATTGTAATGTCATTCATTCATTCGAATGCAACAAAACACGATGGCGTCGAGTAAATATTAGTAAATATTAAATGGGAAGTCACGACGAATCACCGCTCTATAATTATCAAATCACATCCATCAAGCAAATCCTATATTTAGGATACTTGTTCGCTCGAATGAAACAAAACCCAGTGGGAAGCATTAATTAATGTGCCAACTAAGGATTCTCTAATTTGGTTCTTTGTATTCAAACGGATTAACATATGCACAGCAACGTAAGGATCATCCGAGGAGGGTTTATATTGATTAGAGTATTAATGTTAGCTACGAAACGGCTTCATTCTTAATTTCTTCTACCTCTCGATGTTCCCAATTTCTTAGTGTGTGGCATTAACGCTACTGGATTTGATGTTTTGCTAAAACGCAGAGAATATTAATTAGTTTACTCACATATATTACTTTGAGTTATAGAAATTAATGGACGGGACGTCATTACGAAGTTAATTACGTTTGGATATTGTTCACAATATATATTATAAATATACAACACAAATGTTTTAAGAGTTTTATTTTTTTTCCATATATTCTTTTATTGATATTGTGATGATTGGTACACATAATGGAGGGCCGTGCATCATTTTCGATGATCTGAGAACACTGCGCATAACCTGTTCAAGCATGGGCCCTTGGCATTAAATAAAGATTGAAAAGAAATAGTATGTTGGAATCCAATTTGAATAGCAAATAGAGTACTATATATGTATCTACAATTACTTGGCAAAGAAGAGAGAATTGGCAAATTAAAGCTTATCGTGAGGTTTCTTTAAAGTGAGGGTTAGACTTCAAGAGAGATATAATTTGATTTGAAGTAGATGACAAGTAGCTAGATTGATTCCATCCCCTCAACTCTCTTCATTTCCCTTTCAATGCCCTAACTCCATTATTGCCCATATAAGGTCTGTGTATATTACCATATTGACCCTACTTTAATCTAACCAGCAACTAGATGGCAGTGAATGGAAAAGTAGACATATGTTGGACAAACAAAGGAGGATTGCGGGAAGCAAAGTCATAAAAATACTAACTACATTTTGATACCTGCTTTTGCTTTATTATTATATATTTTAGGGGGATCATGTGTGTTTGTGCTTGCCTCCTTTTTAGGGCAAATCGTTTGCATCTTGACTTGTGTGTGCGAAATATATACTTTTCTTTATTATGCATCCATCTTCTCTCTCTCCCCCTCTCTTTTTCTCATTTCAACTTAAAGTTTATATATATATATATATATATATATATATATTCTTCATGTGATCTCCACCCCTCCATGCCATGACTCCACATTATTGAGAATCTCTCCCTTTCTTTCTTCTTTTTGGGAATCTCATTCATCTCCTCCACAATTCAGGCATATAATATATAAAAACCAAACTTTGAATATGTCAATCCTCTCTTTCTATGTGTGTGTCAGTGTGCGTGAAAGAGAAAAAGAGGTTGGTGATAATTAATGAATGAGGTTCTTCGTCGTGAAACTGAAACAAACAGTTCCTTCTCTCCTTTTCCTAGCTTGCTTTTCAAAGTTTGGTTTTAGGATCACTTCCAATATTGTGGTTTGGTGCGAACAAGTCTGTTCCTTTAACGTTATCTCAAGATCATTTACTGCCTTCACATATATATATATATATATATATATATATATAGATGATTGCTGATACAACGTTTAGTATCATTATATTTAACAACGCCCATCACATAGACATGTAAACTATAACTCGAGATCGATCACACTTGATTCGAATTGAAGGGTGCATATGATGACAAACTTAAAATAAGTTGAGCTATCATTATATCTTGTGTTGGAAACATACCTTACTTGTGGAGATCTGATACTTGAAAAAGAGGGTAGGTTTGCATACATCTATTGATGGCTAGCAAAAGCAAGTGACCGTTAGGTCCGAAAGAGATTGCATTCATTCATTCATGGGAAGGGTGGAATAAGTGGACCCAATATTATTGTCCTGAAAAATAATAAAGGTAAGAGTACCGTTTGATTCTTTTTTGGCCATATCTTTTTACTGATGCGTGTAACTTCACTATCAGAATTCAATTCCCAGTGAAAGCTGATTGGAAGAGAAAGTTGGGAGATCTTGGGAAATGGGGTGCGTAGAGACGTGGTCAATGGAATAGTTAGTAAAATACTTTCCCCCAACTGAAGAATGGATTTCCCAATACATATCTATCTTCTGCCATGGGGCTTCATAATTCCATGTGCATAATATATATATATTCCTTATCCCCACAATGGAACAGCAGGTCATTTCGCATTCATTGATCTCCTATCCCACGCTATGCATTCGATAAAAAAAGATGCTTATTCCAGATCCAGGAACCAAATTTGCTGGTTTGGCTCATAACTTTGTACTTCCAACTTTTGGGTTTGTCGGAGTGAAATATACATATACTATATATGTGTGTGTGTATATGTATATGTCTGCTAATATGCTTTTGGGATTCCCTCGTCGGAACACCCACCATCTTTTAATGACAGTGCTGAGCTTTTTCTGCATCAAACAAACACACACACATGTTTATCCGAGTGACTGACAACTATGTATGAGCATGAGTGAGATGTGAAAAGATTAAAAAGTTTCATCAGCTTGTTAAGTGGAGGGTGTTTAATACTATTCTTTTGGGTTCCCCACTGTAACCATTATTGTTGGTAATAGTACACTGAAAGGCTTTTGTTCCCACCAAGTGATGAAGTGGGTTTGCTGGCCCATTCAGTAGCTTTCAGGTAATCTCACCAATAATGAGAGAAACTAACTTGCGGGCCATGAACAGCAAAAAACTTTAATTCTCTCCCCTTGGTGCAAGCAGGTCATATATATCTTCACTTACTACGTGTCCCAAGAAAACTATGGAAAGGATGACAATTAAAAACCTTGTAAAAGAAAGAATTGATGTAAAATGAGGACTTTTAAATTGTGAATTCTGAAGTCTGAGATGTGAACATATCCATACTTTGTGTAAATTTTCGTACAAAGTCCTCAATTATAATTATATCATTCTACTTCGATATGTTCGCCACATGTATTTGTATCTGTAGAATGTAATAGCGTGGTTGATGGAAAGGAAGAGTGAGAAAGACAAGAGAAACTGATGAGAGAGCATAGGAAGAATTGGTTTTGATGATTTAATTTGATAAATGAATTCGCTCCGCCAGAAACAACAAACGGCCGGAGGAGCATCGGTTGCACCGTCGTGCTGGTTTGGATGCAGACAAATTAAAAACATAAGCCCATCACATACACCTACCTATACATATACATATACAGATACTTATACATATACATATATAACAATAAATGGCTCTCCATGCACCTTCCAATATAATCACTCTCTTCATCTTTCTCACCGCTACGCACCTTTCTGCTTCATCACCATGATGAGTCCCAGCAATCAACAACATTCACTCCCTTGTAAGTTTCTCTTTTTTATATATTTGTGAGTGAAATTGATTATGAGATGCAATGATATATATATTTATATATATATATATGGTGCAGAAGGACATCCTTCACCTGTGGGGTATCCCCCAAACGGTACGTCCCAACAGCAGACTGTTAGTAGGGGTGATGACTTCTGGAAGGGTTGGTATGTATGCATTGCGTTATATACATATGTTCCTACTTTCATGTGCCCTCAATAACAATCCCCAAAACAAACATACATACATACATATATCCTGTAATAATTGCCGTCTAAAATAATTATTCTTTTTTTTTCCCTTCTTCTTTGTAATTGCAGTCTTGCTGCTATTTGTTGCTGCTGTTTCCTGGATTGCTGCTGTTTCTGATCTCACCTCATTCACTCAATATTCAACTTATAATTAAGGATCTTTATTTCTTCCCTTGGATCCTATTCGTATATTTATGTACTTGTTCATGTGATCCTTTCCTTACTGCTTCCTTGATTACCATATATATCTCACCAAGTCTCGTGCTCTCCCTAATGGATCTTGTTTTTTTTTTTTTGAGCTGACTAATATATCTCATATTATATTATTAACACACTGCTGACATATATAAATGGCTAGAGATTTCACAACGTACATGCATAATCCCAAATCCAGAGCAGTACGTGCAACATAACAAGGCCTTCAACCAATCTTAAGCTGACAGTTTTAAACAACATAAAGAGAGTTTTAGTTCATGCGAAAGCACAAGTACTAATCGCATCACTAATAGGAAGGCCGTGGAAGCAACAAAGGCCTATTAATATGTCTAATATTTTCTGCACAAAATTTTCACTCCATTTATTATTTTTGTTAAAAAATATTTTTTTGACAATATAAATTATTACTTGTAAATTAATATGAAAGTGAAAATATGGAAATAATAAGGTTAATAACTAAATCTCATTTTTCTTAAAAATCCATATCACTTAAAAATATTCTTGTTTTTACAACAAACAGTTTAAAAAATTTAAATATAAAAGTATCATGTATGATTTAATCACAACTTCATCAGAAGTAAATTTGTAATGTTGGCAAAAAAAATTTAAAAAAGAAAAATTAAAGAGATGCGTCAAGCTTACAGCAAGAGTCAGTCCAAACTTACAGCAAGAGAGAACCAATCCAACTGAAAGAAAGCGGCTGCGCCGCACCGAATAAAATTGGGCTGAGTTATTCTGAGATAAGCCCACTTGCGGGCTGAATCCAACCCGAATCGAATCAGAGTTTATTATTATTATTATTATTATTCCCGCAAAAGTCATCTTTAAACGGCGCCGCGCGGCAGATGGAGGAGGGAAGACCCTTTTCCCGCGCAAACCTTATCCCTCACTCTAGAGGCGTCGTCATTCGTTCTCAGTACTTTGGAAGGATTTGATTCTGGCTTATATCTGGTATCTTTCATCTATGTTTATTTTGCGTTTGTATTGACAAAATTATAAATTTCTTCAGTTCTTTGACATTTCTCTTCCATAGGTTCTGTTATCTTCTTGAATCTTTGATCTTCTTGCGCCGTAATTGCTTGTCCAAATTCTTTTCGTGTCCTCTAACTTGGGATGATTGTGACTCTGGTAAAGCATTCCAAGTCAATTGGTCTTCCACGGAAATTGTACGAGTTAGCTGTTTTCATGTTCGTGCAGGTTTCAAATTAATGCCTGAATTTTGTTTTGATAATGCATGTGGATACGCGGATTGTCATAGGTCTCTCAACAAACACTTCCAGATCAGCCCACCTTCGGCCATATAAAGAACAGACTTACGCACAGATGAAACTTTAAAGCTAAAATACATTACTTTAGATGTTATACATCACATTGGTACAGATAACATTACACAAAACCCACTACAAATGACACTGTAAAGGAAGGAAAATGATTACACTCTCAGATTCTTACACAAAGGATAAGAGCAAAGATACAAACCACACACAATGACATTACAATGTCAACAGAACAGAAACTCTAGAACCCCTTTCGTCCTTCCAAACTCCTCTCTATGTACACCCACTCCCAACTTTCTGATTGCTTCACTTGCCCTATTCATCTTGACTACCTGGCTGGCTTTTCTCCCCTATTTTTGTTACCCCTTCTATTTTCTTCTAAACCATTAGTTCCACCTTTTCTGCCTTTTCACCACTCTTTTATGTCTCCTTCTTTGAGTTTTGGGGGCAATAGGTGATGGCGTCTTACCAGATTGCATTTTGTATCAAAATTATTTAAATTTCTTTTATTGCTAGCAAATAAAGCAAATCAAGTTCTTTGCCGTGAAGGTGCTTTGGCTGATTGCTCCTAGTAACATTATCTGTTCAATAAGATTAAAGATCACAATGCACTGATATTTTTCTGGTGTTCGTATGCAGTTCTCCACTAAGTTGTCTTTAATGGGTCAAGATAAAGTGAAAGAGTAGCAATCTGCAGGTCTACGATGACAAAATACTATGACATTGATGACATTATCACAGAGGAAGAGGTAGTCATCAGACTCTTAAATTTCTCCATATACTTTCCTTTATTTCTAGCACGTCAAATTGAATGAGGGATGTTAGTAAGATGTTTTTAAGAATAATATTGTAAATAAGTGAATTGATTTAGTAGTTAGCCTAAACTTGCTATGTTTCTGAAGACGTATTATTAGTTGGGAGTAACAAATATCAGGATAAAAGTGTAATATATCCTTGTTTGGCATTAAAGAATAAACGTAATGATTTGTTTCCTCTCAGTCTTTTTCATTTTTCAGTTGATGTTTTTGAGTTATACAGTTGCTGATCTGTATAGAGCTACCCTAATCAGTTTCTTATTTTAATACTATAACTTGTTATGTTCTTGCTACAGACTGTATCAGTTATATTCCAAAAGGCAGCGTCAGGAGTGGGAATAGATCCCAGTTCTGAAAATGATTACGTAAGAGCTGCTGATCAGTTATGGTTGAAAAACAAATCGTTGCACCATGTTACTCTAATGATTTAACCAGACTCTAGCATGTTTGACTTTCAGATTGAAACAGGTTCCAAGGTGGAGCTGCCTTTCTGGCTTGCTCATGAGCTACAATTGAGACAAGTAGTATCGATCAACATTCCCTCTTGTTTTGATCAAAAGTAATTATCAAATCATAGCTCTTTTAGCAATATATAGGCTTCGCTTCTTGTAATATTTAAAATTCATCATTACATTGACAATGAGTTAAGAAGCAATGCCAATTTAGCATTATTTGCTCAATGACTTTGACTTGATTTGGATCCAATGCTATTTTTCAACCCTTTTTCTTAGGTCCCGATTAATGGTCATTGATTGAATGTGTATAGTGATGAATTTCCATTGCTTTTATAGAAGTTATGAACATTATTAACAGAACGTGTGCCCAAATCATCATCTGCAGTTGTGTCCCGATGTACAAGAGGAATGCTGTAGTTAATATTGGATCAGTTTTGATGTTAGGTTATAAAATGTTTGCTTTATTTATGCTTGCGTCTGCTCGTAATAGTTGTTGGCTCTTGATTTCAGAACTAGACTGGAGATTCAGGCTGATTGTGCCAGTGTGGATCTGAGGTCTCGGTGTCCATTCTTTTATGAATTTGGATGCAAGATAGCACCCGTGTAAGTCTCTTCTATGCTGTATTTTTCAGTTTCTTGCTTACCAAAAGGCTGTTAATTTCACTGAGGTTCTGAGCTTACTGTCATATTGCCACTGACACATACTTAGGCTTACGGTTCTATGTCAGATAATATTATGCGGTTGCTGCCAACCTCGACACCTTGGATGGGCCAAAACTTTCAGTCTGTCCTATCTCACAATGCAAAAAACATTTTCATTCAAGTCATCATCACTGTAGTTTTCAATTTAACAACCAAATTTCAAATGAAGAGTGATGAAATGCCAAAGAATTACTGGTTACCACTGTGTCTGAGCATGGGCCTCTATAATGAAATTGTTACCAACCTTTTTCGTTCTGCCTTCTCCCCATCCTTATCCTACCCTCCTGGCACCTTAATAAATGAAATGATATAATTCAAGGCCCCCTAAACCTTGGGTAATGAGTAATGGTGGTCACAGACCATTTGTAATTTGCCTAAACGTCCAAGATCTATGATTAAGTGACTTGTCTTGGGAAATTTTTTTATCCTCTTGTTGTATTTTTACGTGATTTTTTTTTTTTTGTGTTTTTAGATGAAGAATTTCATCAATACGAGATGTCAAGTGATTTGTAAATTATTGGTTGCACATACCATTAAATACGTCTATTATGTATTTCATATTTAAAACAAAAAATTATGAATAACTTGTAAAGAACATTATTTTCATGCTATTGCCAGTGAGTTAGAAATTTATGGAGTCAAGGTTCACAATTTGAAACGCCCCCCCCCCCCAAAAAAAAAAAAAAAGATTGAAAACACTGGTTTATTTATGTGATTTGAGAAGCACACATTCAACTATCAAATAATTCCAAAGTTTTAGTAGGTTTTGTTTTCTTTTCTGTTTCGGGTAAAAATAGTTTCGTTCTCTTTTAATGGCAGGGTTGGCGATAGGACAATTGGATTTCTGCTCTTGTCTGCATTTAAGAATAGGTACAAGGAACTACTCACCAAGGCGCATACTGCAGCATTTTCAGCGGCTACCAAAATCTGGTCAATCCTAACAAACGAAGAGATCAATTGTGAGTATTATTCTGCTTTTGGAGCAAAACATATATACTATCTTCGTCTACAGCTCCACATTTTTCTTTTATTGAAGCAGGTTGATCAGTGTAGCTTAATTTATGCCCATACTTTTTGTAGTGTATGAGGCAGCTCAATCCTCCATGGCATCCTTTAAGAAGTGGCGAATTGGGGGACCTAGATTTCAGAAAGCCCCTGTTCTTGGAAGAAAGAGAAAATCAACTGAATAATTACTCCTTAAACTTGTCAGGCGTCTTTGACAAAAAAGAATTGTTAGGCTTCTATGAATATCTCATTTCACCTCTCTCTCTGCGTGGAGTAACTTCTATAAATTCAGCTTATTATTTCAATTACTCATGACTCGAGGAAAAAAATTTAGTATGTGTTGCGGTAGTTTGATGATTCCCGGTGAAGGGTATGAACACCAGAGATTGGCCACTTAAAAAGATTTGATTTTTCTTAAATAAGAAAATGAAAAAGGAGGATACTGAGTTTTGATCAAATACTTCTTTTACCAGTTCTGGGCAATTATTTTTATTCTTTCAATTTTTCAGCAGGATTTAAATGTTTAAAAAGTGAGTGCCATCTAAATATTTTTCAATTATCATTTTCCCCATGCATTGTAAGAGAAAAAAGATGTCGAGTTTGTCATATATTGATAAATAAATAAAGATAATGAAAAGATACTTCTATAGATACATTATTGTGTTTTTTTTTAATAATAAACATAATAATTTTTAAAGTGATGTAATGATAGAGCTTTAATAGATATTATACATTTAGTTTTTTTTTTTGTGAAAAATATTTTCTCCATACGGTTGATAAAATTGGGTAGCTAGTAGCTTTTTAATCAAATAACTCGTTGATTTTAGTTGTCCCACCTAGGCATTGATTTTATTAAAGTGTACCTGGCAATTGAGTAAAGGAATACCTATTCTTAATAATTAATTAAAGTTGAAGTCGGTTTATTTTTAATAAATAATTATAATGTCACATAATGTTTGAATTTCATAAGCTCAAGCGATGAGATAACGCTTAATCATTAGCTGATCCAATTTGCACGCTAAATATGCATACTAAAATGTACTCAGTCTACCCATATTTTAATTTATATTATTTATTTCTGAAGTTAAGAGAAGCCCATTTAGGGTCTGTTTGGGATAGTATTCAAAATCACTTATAAGCACATTTTAGGTTAATTGAGATAAAACTCTTCTAATATATATACTTTATATTTCGCAAATCACGATTGAAAAGCTACTTAGAAGCTATTCTAAACGCGCTGTCTCAAAAAATAAATAAAGATGCTACTAAACCACATGTTATAAATTTATGGGATCACTAATTCATATCTGATATGCTAAGATCTATGAATGACATTCCTATTGTTAGATCTCATTATTACAATAAAGATGTTACATTCCAACCTAAAATTGTCGGATCACAACTATGGTAGCTTCCTCCCCAACGCGCAAATAGTTCCTTTCTAATGTGTAATCATAATTTTTAATCCTTAAATATTGCGTAAATAATAGCTAATAAATTAATAAAAATGCAATGAGTCTGAGTTGGTGGACACATCATTGCTAAATCTGCTAACACATTTTAAAGATCCACCTGTCGCATTATTCTAATATAGTTAGGTGGTGTTTTTAAGAACAACCTTAATTTTATGTCGCCATACAAAATAATTGGATATGGCACATTTAAAAGAAATTCAAAAAAATGTAAAGAAGTATTCTTCGTAGACATATAGTTACACTTTAGGGTGTTTTTTTTTTTTTAAATATATGAAAATATGCTGTAAAACAAAAAGATATTCAATTCAGTTACGTTTGAGCTAGACTTTAATCTGTCTAGTCTAGAGATCTATTTATAAACTTGGCAAAAAAATATATATATCTATTTATAAAACATAGGAACTAAGAGAGACGTAATCCACAAATATTAAACTTCTATATATATACTCCTCCGGTCTTTAATATAGAACCCAATTATTGAGTTGGTTTTGGTCTTAAATATAAGACCCATTTCTCATATTTATCAATTTTTTTTAAATTACCCCTATGGATACTCCCTCAACTATATATAATCAAGTAGAAGAGAGAGGGGGTATTAAGGAAGATAATTATGGTATTTTAGGAAAAATGTGTTACATTTATTATAATTAACTAACTTACCTAACTTCTTTAATATAATCAAATTAGTTAAATGGGTCTTATATTAAGGACCGGAGGAGTATATATATTATGCAAACATCTTATACAGCTCCTTATACTTCTGAAAATTTGAATTTTCCATGTATATCAAAAGCATGAGGACACCCTTTAAAAGAACTAAACTAGTTTAATTTTATGTATTACTACTCTATTATAATACCACTTCCGGTATTTAATATACAAACTAGTTGAGAGTTGAAGTTGTTTTAAATACAAGACTATAATATATTTTGTCTTCTATTTTTTTCTTTCAAAATATTCCTATTAATTATAAAAGATTCTCAGCGAGGGATAATTCTAATCATTTAATACAAATGACTGAAGAGGATAATTTAGAGAGATCAACATACATTTGAGATAGATAACCAACTTAACTAATTTTTTCAATATTCTAAAATTAGTTATCTAACTCTTATATTAAAACCCAAAGATGATGATATTTAGCACTAAAAAAGTAATAAGATATATAATTTCCTCTTATCATCGATCAAATGAACAATCCATGCCTCTATACCTATTTCGATTGCGCTAGATAAATTGATTTGATTACATTTGATGAACCAGAACTGGAACTTCTTCCAGATTAATTAGAACTACTGAGTTAAGGAGAGGGCGGGGGGGAATAAAGGATGAATAGCTAGCATTAAGCATGGTTTCTCGCAGGGTCTTAACGGTTTTGTTTCAAAGTTATGCATGGCTGTACGGCCTGTACACTCCAATTGATCTCTGCTACACTAAAACCCAGAATCTACACTACAAACATAATATGATTGCGTAAAGGCCATTTATTCATTAGCATGATGAAAGAATCATATATGGAGCCCAAGAAATGAGTTAGAACTTGGAACCGGGCAATGTAGAACCATTAGAGATGATGCTAACTTGAATAAGAAGATTATAAGGACCAAAAAAAAAACTCGAGAGACACAAGAATATAGAATTTTAATTAATTAGAACACATAGAGCTGTACCAATTCTTCCAAAGACTCAGAACTAAACTTAGGATCTGCATTCTCCAGCATCCACAGCAGATGATCAAAAAGAACCACCTCACAGTTCACCACCAACACATCTTCCTTTTGCTTCGACTTATCGATCAGAGCATTCAGCAGAGGATGGTTCAGATACTTAGAGCTTATCACGTACCTCTTCCTCGTACTCCCAACATATATAATTACACTGTGCTCGTCTTCTTGTTCTTGGCTTCTCCACATGACATCTTCCTTGGTAGATTTGGATCTCAGGCTGCTGTACGAGGATGTTCTTCCTAATTGCCTGGACAAGCTCTTGCACTTTCTGAGTATTAGATCGATCTTCTTCATGGTGATTCTGGGTTTTAGATGACCGAGGGAAGGAATTAGGAGGGGAAGAGAAAGAGGGTTCAAGCGGAGGCTTAAGATACACTCAGAGAAAGTGTAAGGACTAAGAAGGCTTTCAAGAGACGGATATGGAGGAGGTGGGTGTGAGGTCGTTGTTTTTTGGTGCCAAGTGTGGGGTCTGTTCCCGACCAAACATTATTATTAGTGACATAAACAAGTTATCTTTTCTATGAAACTATGATCGTTTTGAGGTTTAGCCTGCACGCGGAACCGACAATGAGGCTCCCTTACAACTAGCTAGAGCAATGACCGATGAGCTAAGCGTGAGTGATGGATATCCCATTTGGATGGCTTGTAATTATTTTGACTCCCGCTCGGAAAACGAAATGACAAGACAAAACACATCAGATCCTTCTAATAATGACAAAAATGGATCTTTCATGCTCCTCGATCTGCAAAACTTAAACTTGGAGTAGTTTGTGCCCACATGTCCCACTTATATTTTAGTTCTTCAACAAAAGGAAGCAAGTTTGAATGCAAGAGGAGTGGATGGAACGTCTTTTCTTCTCATTTTCTTGGATAGGCGCATGAGGATGACTATATAGGATTAACTAGGCCCATGTGGCTAACCTAGCTAGCTCTTATCACTAATGTGGTTGACTATAGTTCAAACCAATAAGACTCTAGATAAATATATAGCATGACAAGGCATTACAACCTAAAGATAAGCTTAAAGATAAGAACTGAAGGTGCAAGAGCTATAACAGTTTTCAATGAATTGATTAAGGAGGCTGTGTATATGCTTGGATGCTATATATAACTTTAGTTGCACGGTGCGTAGCACAATTAATTCATTAGTCAAATTGTACAGGAATAATAATAGATATTCTTACTTGATAAAAGCATATATAGGTGGAATTCTTAACAATGAAGTATAAGTTTCATCGGCTTTATCTTAAAGGGTTTTAATTGAAAAGAATATCGTACTTAAAAAATATTCCTGGGATTCAACAATTTGCAGCAAGATGCATGCATGGCGGCGCGAGGTGGATGTCCCACAGGAATGGAAGCTTGAGTATAACTGCTTCGTCTTCTATGTATTAAACACACACACACGTGACACATTATATATGCTACGCATATTGCTTAGGACTTAGGCCTCTGCCCACACAAAGACACAACCATGATTTTTTCTTAACTTCATCTTATCATCAAGATTTTGCACCGACTTTTAAGGTTACCCACTTTTTTCCATAAAGTGAGTTTGGGTTTGCTTTTTTCCCCCCTTGTTTAATTATTTTCGTTATATGGAAATATTTACAAGTATGCCTCAAGTAAAGTAAAAAAAAAAAAAAACAACTTATAGCTTGGTCTATTTAATTTTCTTATTTCCAATCCATAAAAAAGAACGGAGAGAAACCAGTGTAATTAGCCAGCTAGCTGCTGGATACAATCATGGAATTATATATTGATTGCTTCATATATAATCATGGCATATATATATTTTGTCAGCAGAAAAACTAGTTGAGTTGGTAAGGAATCAACGTTAAGAAGATGGTCTTGTTGAATAGAGATCGATAAGTTTACTTTTGAGCTCTAAGCCGACAATTCTAATAAAGTGTGTTGTTGTTGTTGTTGTTGATACTACTATAATTAATTGTTACTTAACAACTTTTTTCCCGAATTATATATGTCTCCACTATGTGGTTTCAAGTTTTCTTGTATTCGACTCTCCTTGTTTCCATATCTACATTTTAAAGTAAATTAAGTTTAATTAAATAGAAATTTTTGCTCTTAAACTACTACCTCCGGTCCTTAATATAAGATTTTGTTTGATTTTTATTTTGGTCCTAAATATAATATCCTAATCTATTTTGTCTCTCATATGTATTTTTTTCCAAGGTAGTCCTTCTAACAATGGTGGTTCTAACCAATATACTTGATTAGCAATGATATTTTAGGAAAGATAACACTTATTTATCACAAATAATTAACTTAACTTATTCCCTTAATTTCCTCAAATTAGTTAACTAGGTCTTATAATTAGGAGCGGAGGCAGTATATATTAATTCTTTCAAGGGCGCCGCCTTTTCTAGTCTATCACATAGTTTAACATCTCTCATAAAAGTATTAAAAAGGATCCAATCTTATCCTCCTTAAACATAAGTTATCTTGACCAGAACAATTATTTTTTTAAAAAAAAAAGCACCAGCAAGTTACAAATAGATACCCGAAAATTAATACTATCTCCGGTTCTTAATATAAGAACTCGTTTGAATTGTATTTTAGTCCTAAATATAAAACCTCAATCTATTTCGTCTCTTATATTTATTCTTTTTTTTTTCCAATACAGTCATTGTAATAATAGTAGTTCTAACCAATACACTTGATTAGCAATGATATTTTAGAAAAGATAATATCTATTTATTTCAAATAACTAACTTAACTAATTTTCTTAATCTACTCAAATTAGTCAACCAACTCTTATATTCAGGACTGAAGGTAGTACCTATTAAGTCTTTAAAAAATGGTATTTTGGTTGTTACATGCATGGGTAAAAGTAACACCAGTCCTTTAATATTTATTTATAATTTCGAACCTTAATTTGTATTAATCATTTTATAGGGTATTTATATTTTTTAGGGTATTTTCCGTAATTTTTCTGGTTAACTAGCCGTCAAAATAAGGTTTAGTAGAAGGACAACATTACGTTCACACCACTTTTGATATTCTAGAGATGATATTGTGTTACTTGACAGTTTAGGATACTTAGTGCTCCGAGAGAATAGTTTAAGGACAAAACTACCCTTAACTGGTGCCCAAGGTGAATCAAATCAATTCAATTTGATATGAAGATGGCAAAGTTTAGGGGAAGTCACTGACATGGAATATATAAATATATATATATATATATATATATATTGGCCTTGTGACACGGAATAATTCACTCTGTAAAATTGTGAAAGTAATACAAAATTCACATATATGATATATTTTAATCTGAAGTGAAAGGTATGCCTTTAAAGATAAATAAGAAAAGAAAAAAAAAATTAAAGAAAGAGAATAAAAAAAATAAGTTACAGGAAAAAGCTTTAATATACGGGGGCCATATTATTTCAAATCATCAAGATTAAACATTTGTTACCATGCTTATGAATATAATGTTCGCACCAAACCAGCAAAAATGTTAGCAATAATTTTGTTGGAGGGCATATCATATCATATTATTAATAATGACCCGTCAATACCCTGTTATCATCTGTCGCAGCATAACTTCGTGCTTCAACCTATCACAATGGAAAACAAAATTCATCAAACTTTCTCACTTCAAATGTTTAAGATCTTAAAATTTTATGTTCTTTTAATTATTAAAGGTAATACTCCTCCGGTCCTAATTATAAGACCCAATTGACTTATTTGAGGAGATTAAGGAAGTAAGTTAAGTTGGTTATTTATAATAAATAAATATTGTCATTCCTAAAATATCCTTGCTAATCAAGTATATTGGCTAAAACTATCATTATTAGAAGGATTATCTTGGAAAAAATGCATAAATATAAGAGACAAAATGGATTGGGTCTTATAATTAGGACCAAATAAAAAGTCAAATTGGGTCTTATAATAAGAACCGGAGGAGTACTATATTCCGCCGGACTTGCTACTAAATTGTAAAGAAATATGAGTATCATATTCTAAAACATACGGCTTTAAATAATAATTACGTAATAACCACTATAATTGAACAGTAATTTTGTGAATTTCTTAAAATCAAATAACGGATTTGCTCTTAAAATAATTACACTTTTTTGAATTCTTGTTGAGGTGAAATTTTTTACACACTTTAAACTAAGTGAAAGTGTGATAAATACATACATGTATGCGTATACGTACAGATAACAAAACTAAAACTTTGACGTCTTTGATTATTCAGGGTTTGTAGATTCATAAAACTGTTATTAAGGTAAGAGCAAGGAGATAGGGGCCACCACCAGCTTATCATTGTTAAGCATATTTTAAAAAAACAAACAAGAACCCCATTTAAGCTTAGTTTTTAAGTCATAAAATTCAGACATTTTTGGCTAAGACAGACCAAATTAATAAATGATGACAGATCAATAGCAGTAATCATTCAATTACTTGGAAGCAAACTAGTATTCATCACGTCACATCAGTGACAGTAAAGATATCGAGTGCTACAGATAGTTGAGAATTCAATATTCGAATATAAAATAAGAAAGAAAATGATATCATCCTCATACATTTATATTTAAAAGCCTACCTGTTAACTTGGAAGTAATGCAATAAACAGCATATTCATATCTCTTTTAGGCATGTGTACAAGACTAAACGAATAACTATAGAAGTATTCTGCTGGTTAAAAAACTCCTTACAGGAAAAAGAATTCAGAGTTCTGCCAAAAATACAACAAAAAGAATGCCTTTCAAATCTATAATCAGCAATTGGCTGAAAAAATTCTCTATCTGTTGTCGTGGATGGAAATATCAACTTCTCTGTTGATCCTCACTTGACAGCAGCAAGTGCAGTCTATCATACGTTGAAACGAAACAACATGACATCTCCTTCTTGTACAATGTAGTCTTTACCCTCCGATCTCAGCTGCAAACGACAGATTAAATTGGAATAAATTTCCAGGAGAAATCAAAATAGTTCCCAGTTCAGAAATTTGTACAGGACCCCCAAAAGAATGAAGAATTGAAGACAATCCAAATCTTCTTCATAACAAAAGAGGATGTTTACATTCTAAAAGCAATAATAATAAAAAAAAACATGATGAAGTTATTTGTTGTGTTGCTTTTTCCCAGAAATGCATATGGATGACGGATGACCCAATTCGTAATGGATGTTGAATCATGCTAAATCTCAATTACAGTAATCATTCGAGAAAAATTGATATACCCAAACCCAATATAGATCCCCCGGGCATGTCATCATCACAAGTTTGACCCTTACTCCACGAAATCTCGTCCCAGATGAACGCGTATTTACAAAGCTGGATTAGCCAAGAGATAAAAAATGTAGACTTTGCATGCCAAGGGCGATGGAGATAAAAAAGAAAACAACTTACAAGTCCTTTTTCTCTAGCTACAGCAAGTGAACCAGCTGAAACAAAATCTTCATAAGACACCTAATTTAAAATTGAATAAAAAATAAAGGTGTTAGCATAAATATGCAAAAAAAAAAAAAAAAAAACAAGTCTTTTCCTAAATTACGCATAGTTCCTATATGTATAATGCAAGCGGGGGGGAAAAAAGGGTCCAATTGGATTTAGTTGTCAATATCAGCTTTTTTTTTTTTTTTTTAATGGAAGTATCAGCTTTCATTGAATATCTTATATCCGAATATTACTACTACCTTGATTTTAGTTCTCTTTTTTTGAGAATCCATATACTATACCAGGGCTCTCTCTCTCTCTCTGGTTTCTCGTTTTTATGATGCTTGCGATGCCATGTTATATGTTACAACTTATTGCAATTTCAGAACTGTATCCTGTCACTTACTGTTTCTGCTCGAATAAAGCCTTTCTCAAAGTCAGAGTGAATGACTCCAGCGGCTTGAGGTGCAGTCATTCCTAGAAAAACAGAGGCTTAGTAGTCAAAAAACAGCAATGCATCCTCGGAAGTGACTATATATCATTACCAATGTTCTATAACAAATATGAGCTATCTAAGATCTTACATAGTAAACCAGGCCATCTAAACAAAGGATCAGTCAACAAAACATCAGCAGATGAAACAAACTTCATGTTAAAAATTACTCAAATTTATATATCCCCAAGTATTTGAACATGATGCTCAGGGCAGGCTGAAGCCAATGCACAGTCACATTTTACTATAATGCAAATTAACACGCTCACATGCAAACAACCAACCTGCAAGTATTGTCCATGCCTTTGTTTCCTGAGTACACATTAAAGGGGAAAAATCAGCTGCGAAGTAAATTATGATAGATATTAAAATACATGCTCCCTGCTTTTCTCTCACCTTCTCACCAGAAGTAAAGTAAGTTCGCAACCCCAGAAGGCTATAGGTTGCCCTAATTAGATTGCCAAGACCACTTTCACTAACACCAAGAGATTTCAAGTATTCTTGTCTTTCTTCAGTTGGTAGCTCAGTAAGCTCTGCTTCAACCTGCAAGAACAAATAATAACCTCATCTTACTAGCCTGTCTATATTGACAATATCAAGAACGTCAAGATTTGTTTTCTTCCTTTTCTTTTCCCTCAGTGGCTCACAAGATGCAGACAATCCACCGCATTACTGAAAAATTAGCATTGGATGAACTCCCCAGCATCATTTCACGCAAATGGACCGACTCATAAGAAACATGTTCTGAACAGTGTAATAGTTACATGCTCCTTTCTAAATGCATACCTGTGCTGAAATTGTCACAATTCCTGATTGCAATTCAGACGCTAGATTCATGACTTCCTTTACATTCTCATTGCTTGAAGGATCAGCTAGTTCAGATTCTGCAACATTAGCCACGTATATGACAGGCTTCATGGTGAGTAAGCAGAGATGCTTTACGGCATCCCTTTCAAAATCAGTTAAGGTCACAGAACGTGCAGGTTTTCCATCCATGAGTGCTTCCCGAATCTTTTCTAGTGCAGTTTTTTCTGCTTCCTCCTAAGATCAAGAAGTTTTAAATATATTTTAATAATATATTTCAATCCCATCAATTAACAGGATACAAAAAGTCACAGGCGATAATTGCACTTCACAACCGTTACCTTGAGTTTAGATTGAGAATCTTTTGCCTTGCCCTTCTTTAGTTTCTCCAATCTTTTGTCAATCTGCATTTCATGGAAGAACAGAATTTCCATTCTTTAGTTCTCTAGTTGGTTTCATCATAGCAAATCATAAAACGCAGGCGTCATTACACATATAGAAGGCCATATACAATCAAAGTACATACGATTTTTAAGTTATTTAGCCGTTAACATAATTTTGGATTTTTAAAGTGGATCCCAAAGGAACGGGAAGGTAGTTAAAAAAGTGTACAGTGAAATTAAATAAGCTGACCTGATCCAAGTCTGAGAAAACAAGCTCCAAGTTGATAACATCAATATCAGTCTTGGGATCAACTTTCCCATTCACATGAACAATGTCATTGTCTTCGAAACACCTCACAACCTAATGCAATAATCAATAGATTCATAACAACATAAGATCACAAAATAAAATATAATACTCATTAAAACCTGGATTTGCCAAACCTCATTTATGATTAGCAATACAAAGAAATAACAAGTGTAGCAGCAATGACAACAATGTAACAATGCCAAGGAAATGGTAAGAGATACCTGAAGTATAGAGTCAACTTCACGAATATGGGACAAAAACTTATTACCGAGTCCCTGAAACACTTGTAGTTAGGAACAGGCTCAGAGTAGAGGAAAATGCAGATCAATTATGAAAACAAGTGTTTGACGACACATACACTACAAAGGAGAGAGATCATGAGAATACCTCTCCTTGACTTGCACCTTTGACTAGCCCTGCAATATCTACAAATTCTATAGATGCTGGGACCGCTCTCTGAGACTTACTGAGATCAGAGAGCACATGGAGACGAGGATCTGGAACAGCAACAATCCCTACATTTGGCTCTATTGTACAAAAAGGAAAATTAGCTGCTTGAGCCTTTCCATTTTCAACCTAGAAATATACGATCACAATATATCAAAATTTGATGGATTACCATAGCAACAAGAGCTACACAGAAAAATTTACATAGAACATCCATAAAACAACCAGGAAAGTTACCAGAACCCGGAGAAACTGGTATCATTTTTATGTTTTCTATTTTTTAAAAATGTGGTCACTATACTTTGTCAGATAGTTGAAAATATACAGATGTGCAAGATCCCTGCCAGCAAGTTGCTTGTACAAGTATGCGAACGAAATCTATAAAATTATGCAATAAAGCATCATTCTTGTTCTGAGCATTCAGAAAGAGTGCATCTTTTAAATTGAGCTATCCATAAACCTAAAATAACAACCAAAATTGTAGCCTAGATCTCTTTTGCAGATAACTCCAACTTCAGCAACCTCATTTCAATCTAATAGGGCATCTGCAGTTACTGAAGCACCAAGTGATAAGCTGGGTCTCTCATAGGATCATATGCACAAGGATGTTGAGAATGAATTGCTCAAAGGATTCTGCTGCAAAGATATAATAATCTAGTGCTCTAAAAGTCTGTGATGATATAAAAGGACCAGTCAATTGAAAAAAGAAGCGCATTGGCAATTTGCCTTATAATTGCTACAAGAACTATGTCTAACTACATCTCCAGTATCAAAGAATCATGTGTGTTGAGTTGATGTCTCAATATTTTAAGAAAACAGGTCAATATAGATGAACTTTACAAGGTAACAGAAGTGGGAAAATTGAACCAAGAAAATGGAAAGATAGTTCCATCTACAGGAACTCATTTTGGCTTTGCTGGCTGGGAAGTTGCAGGATGTAATTTATATCTCTCTCCATTTCTATCTTCTTCCTCTTTCACTACATCACTTCAGTCACATCATATGAATGATGCTTGCATCTTTCATCTACTGTGAACAAGAATTAAGGTGCCTATTAAATTTAGGAGTTTGGAACACGCATCAAGGCTATTCAACAGTCTCCTTTTCCATCCAACTCAGATCAAAGCTGATAGGAACCGAGTAGAAACAATGATAAGCAGACAATGAAACAGTGAACGGGCTCCTGATAGTGAAATAATACTCGAATATGATTAATCAATAGCAATCCTCCTACTAAGTGGGAGATAGGAAGTTACAAAAATGGTTCACACACTCACAGCTCATACAATAATCCTGACATTCGAGAGGTCAGCTCTCTCCTCACCATACTCTCATGCAAAAAACGTCTTACCCCCCTCAAGCTACAACGGCTAAAATACTTAAAAGTAAACAGCACAGTCTCCCAAAATACAACAACCTAGTACACAGACCTAAAAGACATTAGAGTGTGCTACTTTCTCCAAAAAGGTAGGAAATAGAAGTCAACTCCCTGGTTGCTTAGAAAGGACTGTTGCCTTTTGCTTGCTTCTGCCTCTGTCGCCTCTTATAGGTATTTTTAAAGAGGTTGATCCTATCAAAAGCGTACGCACATGGCTACACCATTTGGTTCTCTTTTGTCTTTCTTCTTCAACTATGACTGTATCATACAAAGTCACCACTATTGTCAATTCGTATTCACTACTTTTATCATGTTATCTTGATATTCCCATGCTCCTTTACAATTTTCATAACTCAGGCCCCCTTGATATTGTTCCAGACTAGAGCAGTTCCATGTCATAAATATAATGAACTAATTATATCAACTTTTGACTAGCTTATCCTCAACTTAAGACCACAATCGTCAATAAATATGTGTGTACAAAATAATTTTTTCTTTCTCATGTAAGCACTACATCATAAACGCCAAGCAACATGAAAGAGAAACCGCTTTGATGTTTGACAGTGTTAAAAGTATGAACTAACAGTATCAAAGCTTCAAAAATGATTCTCAATGAGTTAGGCAAACATAGACAGAGAACTATCCAAGGAAAATATAAAAGTGCACCTTTTGTGTCAAATAACAATCAGGACCATTCGCCAATGGCCCTCTGGTCTAGTGACATGAATGTAAGAGGTCAAGGGTAACCCCAGATGTTAGAGCCTGCCCCTCTGAATCAAGAAAATTAGCGACCATTTGGAGATTTCAGAAACAAAGAATAACTAATTAGCAATAGATCCCCTCTGCTTCATAAAAAATCAGCAAGCCTAGTATGGTTAGGAAACCAGTCTCTACTTATCAGCAGACTGAAGCAGAAAAGAGATAACATATGGTCAAAGATGATTTCTTTTATTCATTCAATGACAGAGGCAGAGTTACGGCAACATCCAAGTAAACTAAGTAAATAGGGAGTCATACTTCAATCCTAATAAAACGAAAACATTGAGCAAATGAGCTAGACTGAGCATTCCAAGGCCCTTCTGTATCGTGATAGCCAAAAAATGGGACTTTAGAAAAGAAAGCTTCATTATGTCAATACATACTCAAATTTTAAAATACAAATCCAGTCCTTATAGTTTCTTCTCAATATTTGAATCACAAAAACATAATGGCAGAGTAGAAGAAAGGAAATGAATGGCTTACAACGGCGTTGAAGAGAGTGGATTTTCCGACGTTAGGAAGACCAACGATACCGGCTCTGAGGCTCATGCTTATCTTAGATGAAGAGAAGCGCCGCCTATAACCAAAAATGCCTGTAAAGTGAGAGTTGCCGGTAAAAAGAGGTTGATTTCTGTGCAGGGTCAACTTCAATGGATGCACTAAACTGGGGATTAAGTGATTGCAAGCCGCTCTCGCCATTGCAGCCAAGACCAGAGATGCACCCAAGGAAGCAGCCGTAGTGAAGATTGAAGACGCGAGATATTTATCTGCATTGCACCCTTTCCTTTGCACACAATTTTTTTGGCCAGAAAATACACACTAAATTCTATATTTAATTTTTTGGACCAAAATTCTATATTTAATGTATGTAAAAAAAAATGAGATGTGAATTTCTAATTCAAAAATCGTAGCCACCTAATCTTTAATTATAAAAATTAAAAATTAGATATCTTTGGTAATAATCATATTTATTTCATATTGTCATAGGTTTGTCTGTGGTTTATAGGTTTATAGGGTGTTTACTTTTTAAAAGCATTTTCATTTAAATCAAAATAAAATTATATATATTTATTTTGTATATCGTAAAATTATGATTTAGTTTCTATTTAAATACTAGGTATTTCTTAAAATTATGGTTTTGAATAAAAACCATCCAAAACATCTTTTTTTTTTTTTTGCAAAATTGCTTTTGAATTGAAAACCATGATTTGGGAGTATAAATAATAAAATCATGGTCTTCCATAAGTGAATTTTTTTTTCCTTAAGCATAAAACCATAGTTTGAGACTTTGAGGGTGCATATATATATATATATATATTAATTATATAAATGCTATCTCTGTTTTTTTAATGTAAAAGCTAGTTGAAAATGCAATTTAATTTTAAGTATAAGATTTTAATTTATTTTGCCTTATATTTAAGGTCTAATATTGCTTTGAACATTTTTCACTTAGGAGCAATATTATCCTCAAAATTTCATAACTTAACAATGTTGTTCCAATCCATTAACAAAGTTAATTTTGACCATATCTAGACCTATTTATGCTGAGGTGGATACATGTTTTTAATGGTCAAAATTAACTTTATCAACTAGTAGGTTAACTTGCTATGTTTTTAAGTTTTTGGAATAACATTAAATTCAAAAGAAATTTTCGGCCAACATTACTTTTGAGAAAAAAACTTGTCGATCAAAATTAGGTTTCTATTGAAAAAAAATATTTCACCTAGTCGGTAAAAATGCAAGAGCCTTTGAGTGTGGAAGTTGTAAAATGATGTCTTAAGAGTAATCTGGCACAATAACACGCAAAGTATTATATATCTCTTTTGTTTTGGAGGCAGAGTGACTTATCCGAGTTAATTTGTCTTGAAATCATCTTCCACATGGCTACATGCTATAGACTCGTGCAATTTTCTGAGACAACCTTAGACTATCCGTTTTGATAATTCATGTGACTGATGCTATATTTGTTAAACTGATGTAAATTAAATCGAATTATTGGTTTAACAAAATAAAATATTTTTGCGATCACTAGACTAATAAAGTTATTATGCTCAGTATGCTTAATGTGAAAAGGCAGTAAGAAAAATCAAACTACTATAATCACAAGACTTCCAAGGATTTTGTTTATTGCCAAATTAAACTTCGGAGCTCGGATTTCAGGGAAAAAAAAATGTCAAAATGCCATGTTGAGTTGGCACAAATTGTGAGAAAGAGTATAGGTTGAATTTCTCCATGACCCTGGTTAGTTACGTATTTACTTATGATTAAGGTGTATCCAGTATTTTAAAATATTTTGTCAAGTGTATCTGTATTTTAAAATATTTTGTGGTGTATTTAACACCTTAAGACATTTTTTAAGTGTGTTTAGTATTATAAAGTATTTTTAGTGCATTAGCACTCAAAAATATTTTTTAGTGTATCTAACACTAAGGTAAAAAAAAAATTTCTGAGTGCTAGATGCACCTAAAAAATATTTTAAGATGCTAGATGCATCATAAAATATTTTAAAGTACTAGATGCACCATAAAATATTTTAGAATATTAGATGTATCTGGAAAAATGTCTCAGGATGCTAGATTCATTTTAACCCCTTTTTTTTATTGCAAGATCTTTTTCATACATTCCCTCCGTCCTTTATTATAAACAACATATAACTCCATTATATAAATAAAAAAATTAGCTAAAGAAAATAAATAGTTAAAAATTAGAAATTCTTCTTTCAAAATACCCTTATTTATGGAGGGGATATAAGAAAGAGAATAAGAAAATTATTATAATAAAAAGAATTATGAAAAAAAGAAATATGTGATAGAGAAAGACGATGGTTTGAGAAATAAGACAATAAATATATTAATATTAAAATAAGTAATTTATGGAAGAAAAATAAAAAATTTGTTACGAAAATTTAAAACAACTTATAAATATTATTTATATTTAGAAATAAGAAAGATATGGAAGTTGTTGTTTATAAAAAAAAAATAGAGGAAGTATAAAATCTAATGAAGTAGTTGCCATTGAATGAAATTGCTAACGATGGAGAATCGGAGACGCGAACATTGACCATTGGCATTAACCGTTCCGGATAACTTAAGGAGGGAGTTGTGGTTGGGACAGAGCGATGTCACAGAGCCGAGGCAATTGAGAAATGCTTGCTGGTATCTCTCTCTTTTCTCCTTCGTTCTTCTCTTCTCTGACCTAACTGTAGAGCCACTCGACATTTCTTCCTTGCCTCTTTCATCTGCTTTTCTTTCGATCTTTCGTTTTGTTTTTATTAATCAGTACTTTCTGCAATCTTGAAGCCGATTGTAGTTTTTCCTAGTCGAACTAACCTAAAGCCTTGAGTTTTTGTTTTACATACGGATGTTAGCTAGGATTCAACCATGGCAGCGCTGCTGAATACCGTGTCTCCAGCCGCAAATCTGTCATCCAAAACGAAAAGGAATGGTTCTAGCTTTCACTCCCTGATTCCAAACATTCATGCCCTTTCACTCTACAGGGGTTTTCCTAGGGTTTTGTCATATACCCAGATAGCTATTTCTCCTAAAGATACTGTTTTTACTCTGCCGGATTGGAGGATTGGGAAGAACGACCCCAGAAGCAAGGAGCTTAGAGTTAATAATGCATTCCTCCATCTAGAGCATATGGTAGGCAAAGGCCACAAGCCTGATGTAACTCAAGCAACTCAGCTGTTGTATGATCTTTGCAAGGCTAACAAAATGAGGAAATCTGTCAGGGTAATGGAGATGATGGTAGGGTCAGGTATTATACCTGATGCGGCTTCCTACACATACTTGGTCAATTATCTATGCAAGAGAGGTAATGTTGGGTATGCAATGCAATTAGTTGAAAGAATGGAGGAACGTGGTTTCCCAACTAATACTGTTACCTATAACACTCTAGTTAAAGGGCTGTGCATGCATGGGAGTTTAAATCAAAGCTTGCAACTTCTAGATCGATTAACAAAGAAGGGGTTGGTTCCAAATGTATTCACTTATTCTTTTTTACTTGAAGCTGCTTATAAGGAAAGGGGATCTGATGAAGCCAGGAAACTTCTAGATGAAATAATTGCCAAGGGCGGGAAGCCCAATTTAGTGAGTTACAATGTTGTGTTGACAGGTTTATGCAAGGAAGGACGGACAGAAGAAGCTATTAAGCTTTTCAGGGAATTGCCAGCAAAGGGGTTTGATCCTAGTGTTGTGAGTTATAACATTTTGCTGAGGAGTTTGTGCTACGAAGGGAGGTGGGAGGAGGGAAATGAGCTTTTAGCTGAGATGCATGGAAATAATCAGCCTCCCTCTGTTGTTACCTATAACATATTAATTACTTCTCTTTCCCTCCATGGAAAAACTGAACATGCTTTCAAGGTTTTAGATGAAATGACAAGGAGCGGATTCAAGGCAACTGCAGCCAGCTATAATCCGATCATTGCCCGCCTCTGTAATGAAGGGAAGGTGGATCTTGTAGTTCAGTGTCTGGAACAAATGGTACTTCGGCATTGTAATCCTAATGAAGGGACATACAATGCTATTGCGATGCTTTGTGAGGTGGGGAAGACACAAGATGCATTCTTCATAATCCAAAGCTTGGGTAATAAACATAATTCCCCCATGCATGATTTCTACCAAACTGTCATTTCAAGTTTGTGCAGGAAGGGGAACACGTATCCAGCTTTTCAGCTACTATATGAAATGACGAAGTATGGATTTACTCCAGACTCTTATACTTATTCATCTCTGATTAGAGGAATGTGTAGAGAGGCCATGTTGGATGAGGCCATTGAGATATTCAGGGTTTTGGAAGAAAATGAGTACAGGCCTGATACCGATAACTATAATGCACTTATACTTGGTCTCTGCAAGTCTCGAAGAACAGACTTGTCTGTGGAGATGTTTCAGAGGATGATAGAAAAAGGGTGCATGCCTAATGAGACAACATACACCATTCTTATTGAAGGGCTTGCTTTCGAAGGAGAAATGGATATGGCTGCCAAGCTTTTGAAGGAGTTGCATTTGAAAGACGTTCTGAGCCAAAGTACTGTTGAAAGACTCGACATGCAGTATCGCTTCAAGGAATTGTCAGAATAAAGAGAAACACCCTCATGGCAGATAACCGCACAAAGGAAAGAGGATCACGACTTATTTCAGATCTGAATGATTAGGATGGACCATTGAGTGTAATCGTGGTTACAGGTAACATTAGGATCTTGAACAGCCATCGAAATATTGCTCCTAAATACTTGGAAATTTTGCTCGAGTGTTTAGAGATAACTAAATAAAGGTGTGAGCATCGAATTCAATGATGTCTGCTGTCTGCATTCTCTCTCATGCTACAGGTTTAAGTAACATTCATGTAAATTTGGCGTCTTAGTGCGCAGGAACTAGGATGCACATGTACTCATCGTCCCTTTCTGTCCAGATTTTCCCGGAAAGAAAACCTTAACACCGTAGTATGATGATTGAATGGCTCCTCGTAACATTTTTCCTTGTCTACAGATCTCATGGTCCTGTGAGCATATGCTTCGAGACCTTCATCAGTTAAAAATACTTACCTTGGTGACTCGTATTGCGCTCTTTAAAACATCCGAAGTGCTTTCTGAGATGCTGCATGTGACCCTATGTATATATGCACTTCCCTTGATAACTCTCGGCTCCCCTTCACTTCAGATTGCCGCTCAGCTGTGAATAGCTGTGCTGCAATTTTCTTTTGGGGACTGGCTACTTAAATTTCTTGCCCTTTTTGCTTATTCTCGTACGGAGCTTGTTCGCACTGAGTTTAATAATCCAAAAATGATATCGTTAAGATACAGATACCAAAACAAAAGTGCAAAAGCTGGCTCAAAGAAAGAGGCCTTGTTGATAGTTGTCCGTTTACTTTTAAGTTTTAAAAATAAGTAATTTTCAAATTATTTACAGATTTTATGAAAAAAAATAGTTATTATTTGAATATTTTACTAAAATTAGAAATTAATTTGTGTTTGGTATCATAAGGAAAAATGACAAATAAAGACCATTGAATATATGAAATGGTGAAATGGGTACTTGAGTTGATGAAATTGTCATCAGAGACTGAGGGTGTGTTTGGATAAAACCAAACCATGGTTTGGAGAATAGATTTTAAAAAAAATAGATTTTGGAAAGAATAGATTTTGTGAAAAAGTGATTTTAAGAAGTGTGAGTGTTTGGATAGTTGTTATTAGAAGTACTTTTTATATATACAAATTGGCATAAATTAATATGATAATTATAGAAAAAATATATTTTATGATATATTTTAATTTGAAGGAATAAAATTGTTAATAATATATTTTTTTATTAACATATATTAATAATATATAAGATAATATAATTAATAAATAATTAATATGTATATATATTTATAAGATATAAGATTAAATATGTTTATAAAACATATGTTTATAAAAAAAATAAGATACATATCCTATAGGTTCCCACACTCTCCCTTTTTTCTCTAAAAGTAAAAAATTTCTGCTTTTCTCAAAACCATAGTTTTGGAGTCAAAACCATGGTTTTGAACCCAAACCATGGTTTTGATTTTTTTAAGGGTGTTTGGCTAACATTTTTCCCAAACCATGGTTTGGGGTGCTTGCCAAACACACCCTGAGTCTTAAATTAAAATTATAAAATTAAAACTAAAAGATCAAAAAACCCTTCTTATTTTCTGTCTTCCGTGTCATCTTCCGTTTCTGTTCTTTTTTTGGAGGTCGCGCTTGAAGTTAAGAGAAGAGACAAAGCCGCCGGACAGGAGAGAGGACACAAAGATTTCATTTGGTTCTGTTGTTGCTTGCCGCTTTAACCTCATCTCCAACCGTCGCCTCTTCTTCGACCTTGGCGTGGGCATGAGATTGGTTACTTGACTCTGGGACGTTCTTGAAGGTGCTGTGTGAAGCGTAAAACAATGGTTAAATAGCACTAGCAGATAGGTGACTCGATCGAGTATGGTGGATGATAGCATTAAAGTTGACGTGCTGAAATCTTCAAAACCAATGGCAGATGCTTTTTGCATTTGGGGTATTCTTTGCCACTTTTTTCTATGTCAGACTTATCTAATATCTATTGGATATGTTTCTGACACTTTCCTTCTCTCTGAAATCAAACAAGTCAGTTTTTTTTTTACTATCCATGTCCCATCCCTCGCTAATCTCTAGTGTGTTTTCATAGATATGATTCTTGACATCTCAGTTTGATATGCTATGCTTGATCTTATTGTTTCTTGGAAATTGTCTACTTCTTAATCATAAATTCCTTATCCTACTAGCCTTATTATTCTTGCTGTTAACTGGCTTGTCGATTCGGGTAAAAAAAAAAAAAAAAAACTGGCTTGTCGATTTGATAGGGGTTGTTTTCCTGTGCTGTGAGCCTGTGAGTATAGTACTGTTATGATCTAATTTGGTATACTTAACTTGTCATATATTATATTTAAGTTGTAATTTTCTAAATTCAACTTGTTATTTGCAATAGCTAAATTGTTATTTAATATACTTGTTATATGTAATATTTAAGTTGTCATTTACTAAACTCAACTTGTTATTTAGAATAGTTAAGTTGTTATTTAATATCCTTAACTTGTTATTTGCCATACTTAACTTACAGGAGTTGATAAGGGATGAAAGACCAAAAAAGAAGGAGGAAGTTTCGGTAGATAGTTTCAATAGAGAAATGTGGATACATCATACATACTGTTACTTCATTTAAGATAGGTTTAATATTTTTTATTTTGTTGATGAGTAGCCACTGTTATGAACTATTAATGATAGTTATATATGACTGAAATGACATTGGGATTTATGATTGTTTAATGTTTTAGTTTGAGTTGTCATCATTTTCACATTTCACTATTAAATGACAATAGTAGTATGCAAGTTGTTATTCCCATAACTTGTTTGGTAGAACAATATGCAAATGTCTTAATACAAGTTCCAAAAATCATTATGCAAATAGTCATTTTCATTTTATAAGTTATTCTCATTATATATTTAGTAAAATTGTTAACAAATAAATTAAAAATGGTTGCATATCTCCTTGGGCAAATGGTTGTTTAGTAAAATAGGTAATTACAAGTTTAAAATAGAGAGTTACAAGTTTGAAATAGAAAATTACAGATCTGTAATAGAAAATAACAAGTCTTTAACAAGAAATTACAAGTCTGGAAGAGGAAATAACAAGTTTATAATAGAAAATAACAAATTTGAAATAGCAAATTACAAGTCTAAAATGGAGTTGTTATTTCCTATTGTAGATTTGTAATTTCCTATTATAAACTTGTAATTTCCTATTCTAGATTTATTATCCCCTATTGTGGACTTTTAAGGAGTTACAAGTCTGAAACAAGAAGTTACAAATTTAAAATAGGAAATTACAAATCTGTAATAAGAAATAACAAATCTAAAATAAGAAATTACAAGTCTGAAATAAAAAATAAAAAGTCTACAATAAAAAATAATAAATTTAAAATAGCAAATTACAAATATGAAATGGGAAATTACAAGTCTGTAATAGAGAATAACAAGTCTAGAATAAGGAATTACAAGCCTGCAATAAAAAATAATAAGTCTGAAATAGAAAATTTCAAATCTACAATAGAAAATAACAATTCCATTACATGGAGAATTTATTTTATTTAGAGTAATTATTTTTACAAATATTTTTTTATTATAGCAAACTTGTGGCTCCATGTCATCGACTCTGGATTTAAAAGCCATCCTCTACAACCTTGCATAACTAAGAGAAAAGTTATTACTATCTTCTAATTAAGTTGCTATGTATAGTAAATTAAAAAAACACACATATGTTTATGTTTTGGGAACATGATGACAAACACACAGCCAAAAGTTGGATTTGGAGCTTCTAATACTCCATCTTTTAATATTTCTTGTATTGCTCCAATGTGAATATTTTCTTCTTTTTTTTTTGGGTACAAATGTGAATATTTTCTTAGTCATCAGCTTTGTTTGAAAAATCGTTCGGTCCTAAATGCAAATAGGAATCCGCCATTCTGGCCTATTAGGCTTTGCTCCAGTAAATGGCTCTCGTTCCTGCTGGGAAGAGTGTGACACTCATTCCTTCGTCTACTGAGGAAAATGATTTAATGATGCGAAGCTCAAAAAAGATTAAACATGGAATGGAGAAGGGTGATTGCTCAGATCTGAATCAATGGCCAAAACTTGGGGAGACTCCTGTCCAATCCAAGAAGTTCGGGTTAACTTTTGCAGAAACTCTGAAAGGTGTCAATCATCAGGATGATCATTCGGATGACAAAAAGGAAGAAGAGGATGCTGTATCCGACGATAGTATGTCTGAAGATTTGCATTCGGATTCCGAAGCTAGTAAGAAAGAGCCCTTGGTGCGAATAAGGGAAGATCCACAAAGGAATTTTCCTACATTCCATTTCTCAAGTAGGATGAAGAAGAGATTGTATCAGGCTTGGAAGAAAGCGATGATTGTGAAGCTCTTAGACCACAGCATCGACTTCAAAGCTTTGGAAGCTAGACTCCAGACACTATGGGTGAAGCGTGGAATAATAAACTTGATCAACATTGGCTACGGTTACTTTGTAGTCAAACTATCAAATCGAGAGGATTATTTCAATGCATTAATAGGAGGTCCATGGATGATATATGATCACTATTTGACGGTGAGGCCATGGGAACCAAAGTTTAATCCGGCGAGAGCTAAAATAGATAAAGTGGCAGTTTGGGTACGGTTACCGAGGGTATCTCTAGAGTATCATGATGAGGAGGCTCTCACTTGTATTGGAAATAGGATTGGAGAGACGATAAAAGTTGATTTTAACACATCCTCTCAACTTAGAGGGCACTATGCTCGGATTTGTGTGATGATTGATTTGGGTAAACAACTGATGTCGGGGTTTTCTTTAGACGGTGAGGACTACTACTTGGAATATGAAGGACTCCATTCACTGTGTCTGCACTGCAGGGTTTATGGGCACCGTAGCGAGACTTGCAGTGCAAGAAAGCAGAACATGGAGCATCAGAGAGGGAGCCAGAATGACGGTGATTTGGGTGCACAAAAAACAAGGATGGACATTGATGACAAAAGGGGCAGTGATCAAGAGATATGGAGAGTGGTGCAGAAGCCCCGACGATAGCGAAGGGGAAAGGAGAAAGCAGGGGAAAGTCTTTGGCAACCGAACTCCGGGACGAGGTTTGAGGTTTTGGCTGACGTGGATAATAATAATTTTGAATTAACGAAAGAAATAGAAGATAATGCTTTACCTGCAACGTCGGATATGGGGAATGCACTTTTGCAAATGTAGCCACTACCAGCATATGGTACGCGCGGGGCAAAAAGGCTGCGCAGAGCAGAAAGCAAGCCAAGAATAACGGTTTGCCCACTGAGGTGGTCCTAATGGGAATTCCTGACAGAGCGTTACAGCGAGCAGAACAACGGGTTGAGCAGGGGAAGAGAGAAAAGAGATCTCATGAGATGTTTGTGAATCACAAGAGAACTAACGAGATACTCATGTTGACGCTGGATGACACGAAAAATGAGAACCCTGTCAAACGTAAACTAGACGCTGATGGGGACGATAATATCGAGCATGGTAATAGTGAGGAGGAGCAGATGGATTACATCAGTAATTTTGATCCACTTCCTCATGATCCGGGAGATAGAGTAGAGAGGGAGGAAGGAAATAGGCCTGAGCATAGTGGGCCGAGGATACCTAGCCCATTGAGTGACGAGGCGGAGAGAGCCCAACGTGAAACCTTTGTGGTGCCTGAAACGCAGTTCTAAGCTGGAGTGGGCCGTGCTTAACTGGACATACCCAATTTATGTTTATGGATCAAGTATTATATTGGAATGTTAGAGGGGCATGCGGTCAAGGCCTCAACAGAAACTTAAGGACTATTTTTGGCAAGTTAACGCCTTCGGTCCTGATACTTTCTGAAACAAAATGTGAGAGGGATTCAAAGTTGCGTTGCATTTATTCCTTGGGTTTCGATAGTCTCTTTGCTGTTCTGAGCACCGGTCGTTCAGGAGGATTGGTTGTGGTCTGGAAGAGTGAGTTAGTCCGAATCTTAATTCTTAGCAGCAACAAACAAATGCTGCACTTAAGATGTGAGTTCTCAGGGAAACCAGCGTGTCTGATAACTGCTATCTCTGCAATACCACACTCGAACCTCCGTCAGACACTTTGGGAAGAATTGAAATTGTTGGCCCAGAGTATCGTAGAACCATGGAGTGTGATTGGAGACTTTAATGATATTGCTGAAGCTTCAGAACGTGTGGGCGGAGGCTGTGTTAACAGCAAAAGAATCAGATGGTTCAATGACCAATTAAAGGATTGTGGTTTGACAGATCTGGGTTACAAAGGTCCTAAATTCACTTGGAAAGGGCCAAAGCTGAATAGATGCTCTCGAATGTATCAGAGACTAGACCGAGCTCTGGGTAATGCTCTGTTTATGTCTACTTTCCATAACTATTTAGTAAAGGTACGCCCTCGTACAAATTTTTCTGATCACAATCCTTTGATTTTGTGTTTGGATGCTGAGAATCTTCAATTTAGAGGTACCAAACCTTTCCGTTTTGAAGCTATGTGGATTGAACATGAGAACTTCCAAAGCTTTATGGCAAAATCCTGGATGCGGGACGAGGACATTAATAAAAGTCTGTCTAATTTTAAAGATTCCATACTTGTTTGGAATAGGGAGGTCTTTGGTTTTATAGAAAAAAAGAAGAAGAATATTCTTGCTAGATTGGCAGGGATTTAGAAGGCTGAAGCTTACCCATACTCTTCTTTCCTTGTTGATTTGGAAACTGAATTGCAATCTGAATTGGAGGAGGTGCTTAGTTTAGAGGAGATTAAATGGTTCCAGAAATCCAGATCTGAGTGGATAACAAAAGGGGATCGAAATACTCGGTATTACCATCTTAAAACTCATAGGAGATGGAAATGGAATAGAATTCTCTCCTTAAAGGACGAACAAGGTGCTTGGCTGGGTGATGAAGTGCAACTGAAAGAACTAGTAGTTAATTATTTTAAAAGGCTGCTCTCATCTGATGAGATGAGTTGCAATGTTCTGAAAACTACAGCTAACTTTCCTAGAGTTGATGGAACCTTGCTGGCTTCTATGAGCTCTCTACCTACTGAGGAGGAAATTAAATCTGCTTTATTTGCTATGAGCCCTTACAAAGCCCCGGGGTTGGATGGCTTCTCACCTATCTTCTTTCAACACAATTGGAAGGTGGTGGGTCCATCTGTTTGCAGATTTGTCAAAGGTATTTTTGAAGGATCCTTGACAATGGATAATTCTAATAAAACTCTAATTTCTCTTATACCAAAAGGAGAAAATCCACAACTAGTTGAACATTTTCGTCCCATCTCCCTTTGTACTGTTCATTACAAATGTTTAACCAAAGTCATTACACAGAGACTCAAAGCTATAATGAATGATTTAGTTTCCCCTTTCCAATCCAGTTTCATCAAGGGAACGCATATACAAGATAATATGGTGATTGGCCAGGAGATCATGCATATGATGAGTAAGGCTAAAGTGAAAAGAGGGCTTGTAGCGATGAAAATCGATCTTGAAAAAGCATATGACAGGCTCAATGGGAGTTTTATTCGCACTGTGCTCTATGATGCTGGCTTTAAAGATAAGTTTGTGGGTCTTGTAATGGCTTGTGTAACTTCAGTAACTTATAATGTTTTGTGGAATGGCTCAACAACTGAGTTTTTCACTCCTAAGAGAGGTCTTAGACAAGGGGATCCTATTTCTCCCCTTCTCTTTGTGTTATGCATGGATAGACTATCCCATCTCATTTGTGATGCTGTTACTACTGGTCGTTGGAAGGCTA